TTCTCAGATAAGCGCATGCAAGAATATGCAACAACTGGTCAGACCTGCGGACTAGAGACTGGGTGCAGGTCAAGACTAGGGAAGGTTCGGGTTAAAGCTTAGGTGTCCGGTCCGGTCCCAGTGCCTGGCGCCGTGGCTCCGAGCCATATGTGGCAGCAACTCGAGATCCCAGAGGGGGAAACCACGATACCTCGGTGGAAGTCCACGACTCGCTCCCCGTCCCTGAAGCTGAATAGTAAAGCTGTGGAGGGACGTAAGTTTTGGCTGAGTCGCTGCAGGTGCTGCTCGCCTGGCGGAGGCGGTACCACGGACCAGACGCCGCCGACGGTGAGACCTGAGGAAGACATAACAGGATCAAAGTGCAGTCTTCAATACAGCATCTGATAGTCATGAGTCATGAAGATGTAACCTGCCAAGTCTTGAATCAGGATGAAATCCAGCATGCCAGCCTGTATTGCACAGTCAGCAAGACATATACAACACAGATTATACGTATATGTGCATATGTATGCATATGTATGCATATGTGCATTTGTATATGTGTAGATGTGCAAAGGTGTATATATGGATATATGTGCATATGTCCCTGTCCATGTCGATGTGTGTCCATGCATGCGTATATGTGTATGTGTATGCATTCATACATGCAATACAGTGCATGCATGCATGGATGCATGCATAGAGGCATGCATGCATGCATGCATGCATGCATAGATGGATGGATGGATGGATGGATCAGTGTATGTACGTAGGCAGGCAGGCAGGCAGGCAGGCAGGCAGGCAGGCAGGCAGGCAGGAAGACAGGAAGGAAGACAGGAAGGTAGGCATGCATGCATGCATGCATGAAAATATGTTGCACATTTTTGCATCTGTATATGTGTACATGTGCGCATGTGCCGGTATGTCAGCACATGTCCATACCCAAGCTACACGCAGACGGGAAAATGCTAGCAGTGAGTGCGGGAGCTCTGGTGCTCTGAACCCTGCCCGAGGCGAGGGACCGCTGTCGTTGGGTGCCATCGGAACGAAGAAGTCGGGATCGCGACCTTTCACACCGCCTCAGCGCTGAAAGAGCTCAGCTCAGCACTCGGGCGAAATAACAGGGCCGACGAAGGGCCCGTCTTGCCCGAGGACAACTTGTCGTGCACGACCTCAGGCGCGCGAGCGAGTAGGTGGTGCATACGCTGCGCGTACAGGGGGTCACGCAAAGAGTTCTCTGAGTGCCGCCTGGAGACCTGGTTGGTCAGCACATTCAGGGCGCAACCACCAGTGAGAACTATGCTGTCAACCTTCCCCCTCAGCTAGCGGCTTCTGCTCTGCTTTGCTTTGTTATGGTTTTGTGGCCGCCAAGGCACCCCAAGAAGCGCAGGAAGGCCTCCAAGCGGCTGAGAAAGAACTCCTCGAATTCCGACTGCATCGTCGCGGCGACGGCCCTTTGGCCATCCAGAGACTCGCAGGCAGCGCGCACGATGGGCAGTGGCAAACCCATACCACCCGGAATGAAGGCACGACATTCCTCCAGCAGGAAACGCATGGACTCGCGCAGGTCCTCCCGGACTTCGCCAACAGCAGAGTATCCCATCATCTTCCCTGCCCAACTCAGCTTCTGATACGCCTTCTCGTAGTAGGCACCCACCCGTACCACCTTCGCGTTCGACGAGGTGTTCAGGACGTCAGTGTCGTTGCAGTCCACAAAATCCGTGAGCGGATGGCCTGACACTTCGGGCAGCAGAACACCAACTACATCGTATGCATTCCCGAGGGAATACGCCAGCTGCGCAATGCGCTGGAACTTCCCCTTTGACGCCACATACACATTAAAGGATCCATCGTTGCCCGCACCGTCATAGGACAATACCATGGTAGTTCGAGAAGGATTGGAGTGGAAAGGAGAAGAATAGTAGCCCATGAGAGCATGTGCCTCATGATGGTCGACCATATGCCATCGCTCCACAGTGAATATCATAGTCACAACACCTCGTAGCCAAAGTTGGTAACACTCGAAGTCCCCGGCAAAGACGATGACGCCATCGGTGAATTTCGAGGGCTTCTGCCCATCCTCATACTCGCAGTGCTTCTCCACGGCACGAAGCGCTTTGTGCCATTCCCCTTGGTATCTGTCAGCTGGTGAGCTGACATTGGGTCGGAAATATCTGATATTGAAATATCTCTCCAACTCGAGGACACACTGGATGCGGCCGTATTGACTGACAGTGATACCTCAAGTCTCATGGGAGTTCAGAGGGAACAGAACCCTGAGCTGTGAGAAGAACGTAACTCGTCAGCTTTCATGCGGCATCAAAAGGTGGCAGCACACGTACACCTGTGAGATGCTCGTTGTGAAGCCACGTTGCCCGAGTCGTGGCCCAAATAAAGAGAGATGACGGACTGCCCTGCCATCGAAGAGCTCGGAACAAGCAACACGGATCACGAAATATCACGACAGCGTTGTGTTGCCCGTCACCGATACCAGCAAGGTTTTCAAGCTTAACTCGAGTCTCGAGCGTGATCTTGTGCAGGGCTTAGAGGGCTCTTTCTGCAGGCTTGTTGAGGGTTTTGGACGGCTTTTTTGTGATGGCTTTCAGTCTGAGATTTCTGCTTCTTGCTGCAAGCGATGTCTGCGATGTCTGCGGTGGAAGCGATGTCACAGCGGCCCAGGACCCCCCCCTCCTTCCCCCCCCCTCTCCACGCGGCACCGCCTTCTTCACAAGGCCCAAGCAGTGTCAAGTGCAGTGTGAAAAAAAAACGAGCTCGGCGTTCGAACGCCGTGAATCCACGAAGTGTGATACAGCGAACGTGTCATCGGTGTAATTTTGGCCACCGGCCCAGGTAGAACGCGAACACATCTGCAGGTCACAAGGGCGACAGAACAGAGACCAAATCGTCCGCGTCTCCTAACTTTAGCGAGGGTGGCATCCCTCGTGTTCCTCACTATGACGAAGTACTTTGACCTCCGCAGAGTTTCCCTCACTGTGTCTTTCGAATCGAAGATGGCATCGACCATTTCAGGAAACTGAGAACCTTCTCGCTTCAATTTCCTCAGCAGCCTGATCGACCCAAGCTCCGAGTGGTGTGGATCTTTCGATCTGACGCTGTCGGAGACTTTCCGATCGCGTCATGTGGGTTCTGGGTGCGGGCCACATGTATCATCGACACGAGCCAGGCAAGTAGAATCTCCCTTCTTCATACGGCTCTCTCTTTGACAGTAGATTGAGTCGAGCACAATGCACAAATGAAGGAAGAGCTGCTTGCATAGCTGTCCTAGGGAAGACAGAGAGCCCCGGCCCCCCAGTCCTGTTGGCAGTTCGGGGGAACGCACTCGGCTTCCAACGTGCACCGGCATCTCCGTCCTTGGAGCGACAGCGGAAATCGACGGCAGAAATCAGGTCCCGCCTTTTTTACGCAGCTTGTCCCCAAGTCCCCAAAGAGTCCCTTCCTTTGGTGCTTCCGAGTGTCACCTCCGGTGACTGCCGATGTTTCGCGGCCGTCCAAGCACGGTTCAAGCCCATCTCCTTCGGGCCACATCCAGTAGGGCTTGCACGTACCAACATGTATGCATGTGCGGAGGGATCAAGACGAAATCCTCGGCCAACGCCCAAACGCCTCAGATGTCGTCTGCAAACAAGGGCAGAGGCTCCTATGGTCAAGGATGGTCACGGAGCCAAGGAAGCTCTCTGTAAGGATGTCTTCGCGAGCAGTTGCAGACTCTTGCACGCTTGCTCGACGATGCAACACTTCACGGCATTCACTTCAGCCCTGGTCTATATTTCATGCACGTGGCTTCCCGACTGAAGGTCGTGCTGCGAGGCGAACCTGCAGCGTGGCCCACCAGCGTCAAGAGATCGCCCCTCACAATTGCACAACAGAGTGGCTTGCCTGCCTTCGTGCCGCAACCATCGCACTTTCCACGGAGGGATCCCATGAAAGAGGCACGAGCTTCTGTTTGACCTGAATGAACAAGGCTGCAAAAGAGCACTGTTATGCATGATGGCCTTCGAAACTTGGGCAGTGAAGGGGACAGAGCTTGTATGAGCGGTAGGGACTTCGAAAGGATCAACAGCCTGCAGGAACAAGGCACAAACCGTCCCTTGTTCTCATCTGTGCAAGTTTCAAAGTAGCTCTTTATTTATGAGCTGGACCTCGATGGTAAAGTTCACCTTGCCGGCAGATTCGACGACGGCGGGCAGCAGCGCCAGCGCGGCGCAGTGCCATTTCATGTCGTCCGGCGCACGCAACCCGTGTGCGTGAACTTCGAGCTTCAGATTCAACTGTGTCTTGGAGTGCGGGACACTTGCTGCGCCGGATTATCAGGGATGATTGAGCTGGGTGATGCCGGGAAATTTAGGAAGTCTTGTCTGGGAGACTTGCGCCATAGTGCTGTCGGCTTGACACGATCATGTCGCGATGGACCGCAGCCTCTGAAGTTCTAGGTGGCCGAGATGCTCAGCAGCTGCTAGGTTCATCCTTGGCCCGAGATCTTTTTTTCTTCCGTGCAGACGCCCGCACATTACATCCACTGCTCCCGGCAAGGCTCCAGCTGATCGATATGCCTTTCATGGTGCGGCTGGCAAGCTCTGTGGTCAGCTAGCCAGCTTGCTGGGCATGAAGCCGTGAAGCCGGGGGCCCGGATGAATTAACCCCCATAAATCGACGACAAGGCTACAAGGAGGCATGTGCGCAACAGAAACGGAATCAACGGAACGGATTTAAGTGCCTCCTTCGTGGGATGCCTCTGTCTCGTCAGCCCCCTTCCAGTCACCCTCTGCACTGCAGCGGGAATCGACTGAATTTGTGCATGCTTCGCAGGCTGTACATGCTGCTTGCCAGCATGCTGCACCACCACTTTGGCACGCAGTGCTATTTCAAAGAGGTCTGTTAACTCAGGAAACATGAAGTGACTGTTTGCACTCATGGTTCGGCAGCCGTCGCGGTTTTCATATGAACCATTGCATTGTTACGCGAAATTAACGAACGCCGCAGGCCCTGCGACGCTGCATGGGCTAATGGTCGCACTTTGGCTCAAGCTTGACATCCCAATCCCAACACACTGACAGGTGGCCCTCGCTGCCGTCGCAACTGCAAGCGGAAGCACAGGAAAAACCGAAGCGGGAACTACAGTTTTCCACTCCATGGGGCCCATGCAATGGTATAGGGAGGCCTGCATGCGATCTTCACCACCTTCTTGTTGCCCATGGACATCATCACTCCAGCTTGCACGAAAATGCCTGCTTGGCCAAGGCCGTCCCCATTCGGAAACCCTGACAGCTGCTTGCCTTGTCCACCCCGTCGAACTCTTTCCTGCAGCGTCTCCTCTGCAACCGCTGCACGTCTGGAAGGCTGAAAGTATATAGGACTTGCCAAGCATAACTTGCATCATATCATATCATAATATCTCATATCGTAATTAACACAGAATATCATATCGTCATATCATATCGTAAGACACAGATATGTCTGTAGCCTCGTGTGCACAGGAGAGCCGCGCTCCATCATGCCCCATCCCGAACCGGCCTCGAGCACCACGCGCAGGACCTGGAGCGGTACGTTTTCCGTCTCCGAGGCCTGGAATTCCAGGGACAAAACACAGCGGTGCTGCTCCGTTCTCAAGTTTCTGCGGCTTGTGAGAAAAATTGAAGAAGAAATTGACCATAACCCACTCTGCTCGTATAGACTCGTGGGCGCTCCTCAAGTCGGCAGTGGAGCTGCGTCAAGTCCTCTCTCTTCTGCACATACCTCCAAAGCAGGCAGGCGCGGCACTGGTTTTGGGGGTCCGAGCATTCCGAGCCCCTTTTGATCACGCGGGCTTGCAGCATGGGGATCTGCACCGTGCCACCTGTACAGGCCCCGAAGGATCCAGAGACACAGCAACCCTCTACCAGGTTGAAACCGGGTGAACGCAGCCACGGCCATCTCGAAAGAAGAGCTTCTGCAACCAGCACCAGCAACCCAGCAGGAGGACGGGCTGCGGTGCAGAATCTTTCTCACTGATTCAGACGGTGCTTTCCCGCTCACAATGGCGGCGTGTCCTGGCTCATGGCCAGCTCTGCGAGGGCACGGAGGGCCAGAGAAGTTTCCAAGGAGGAAGACGCGGAAGATGCGATCTTCCTCAAAGTCTCCGCATAGCTTTGGCGGAGTGTCGCCACCTCCTCCGCACTTTGCTTGGCGGCCTGTACTAAGTTGGCGATGCCCTGCACGGCCCGGTGGCGCACTGCGGGGTCCTCCTCCTGCTCCAGGACTTTGGTGATCGCTTGAGATCGCACCTCTTCATGCTCTTTGGGGATGAGGAAGAAGTAGGAGCCCACAGAAGCCAACCGTACCTCCGGATCGGGGTCGGAAGTATCCTTCAGCAAGGTCTCCGCCAGTAAGACGCACTTCTCATCACCGTGAAGACAGCGTGCTGCTTCCCAGGCCTTGTATGCTTTCAACCTGAGCGCCGGCGTTGCCAGGGCCATGGTCATGGACATGAAGCCACGGCCTCCCAAGATATCCCCAAGATCCTCCGTGTCGTAAGCCAAGACGAAGTCCAGCAGCTCCTGGTCGCGGAAATCCCAATCCAAACACACGTCCCCGCTCTCCAACCCGTCCCCGCTCCTCCAGTCGTCGCGCATCTTGCGGCCCGCTTCCGGCGTCAGCAACCAGTCGACTCAACTCTTGGCGCTTCGTGCCGACGAAGGCCAGGGTGCCTTGGATCCGACGCGGAGACACGGAAACAGCGCTATCTCTATCCGTCTCCACGTGGGATGGAGGGCATACACAAAATTGCGGGGCCGTCGAATGTCGCACCGTCATGCGTGGCCACGGCGAAGCTCTTCCAAAGCAAGTGGTCTCGGAGAGCAGCTGAATCGGGTGCCATGATTTGGTACGCTGGAAGTGCGCTTCCATGTGCTGATTTAATTTGGGGCCACTTACCTCATGCACACCCGCCTTCGCCGTTCTGGCGAAACAACGGCTTGGCAAACTTTCGGCGTAAACTGTGCCAAGACTCTCATTTTGGATCCTGCCCTGTTGCATGGGATGCAGGACCCTTTGGCTGACCTTCCTCACACGGGACTATCCTGCTCACATTTCACATAGTTTGGAGGCAGAGGAGGCCCAATCCCCAAGAAATGCACAAACAAAAACTCACACCCAGTCACGCTCAACCAAGGCTGGTCGACTGAGGAAGTCGCACACTTCCTGAGTGAGTGCAGGAGTCCGTCCACTGCTGCGCTCATGCAAGGCCCCTACAAAAACGTCAAGGAGCCGAACTGGCCACAGAGAAGCCACGCCCCACAGCCCTCGCAGCCAGCACAAAGGGCCACCTGAGCTGCCGGGTCTTTTGGATGCGTGCTGCCTTTCCCACGGAGTTCAGCAAGTCTAGAATCTAGAGCACCTGACGCCCTCCGCTGGTTCTTATAGAGACATGCCGACGCCTTCTGCTTGAGGCTTTCGGCAAAGTCTTCTGCATGGAAGGCTGCGCAGCAGTACTGAAGGAATGCAGAATGCAATCCCGCAAACCTTCCGTCTTCCTACGAAGTCCGACGAGAGGCCTGACTTCCATATCAGTCAGCCCCGTCGTCGTCTGATGGGGCTGGGTAGTCTCGGCTTCGGCTTCATACCTGAAATGAGTAGCATTGAGGAGAGAACGTGCAAGAACTTGGACTTCGAAAAAATACCCAACCATCTCGAAACCGAAAACGCTCCGTTAGCGAAGCGGGGCCTTCGAAACTTTCCTTGAAGTCTTTGGACACTCCAAAGCTCGGAATCCCCAAACTGAGCTACGGCAAGGGTCAGCACAGAGAGCTTCACGACTTGCTTGCACCCAGAGAGTACGGCAGCAGCTTGGTGCAAAAGGCCATGGTCGAAGATCTCGGCGGATCTTGGGCATAGGGGGCTGTTCTTTCACGCCATAACAACAATCGTTTACTTGCAGGAGCCCTTGCTGGCATTCTGGCCCTGGCCCGTTTTCATCAAAAAAACCTCCAAGGTCCCTCCCCAAGTTCCTCCAAGTACATTGTTATAAGGTATATCGGTATATCCCTCAATTATTGAGAGACATTTAAGGTATATACCCCTTAATTAGCCTTAATTATTGGAAGTACAAAGGCCGAAGGACCACGACCGTGCCCTCTCTGGGCTCCACATCCACGCCATCATCCACAAAGCGCAGGTGTCCACCGGTAAAGCCGGAATTGACCTTAAGGAATTGCTGCTTTATCGCAGGTCCCAGCTTCAGCTACAATGCTCAGTTTCACCCGGACCCACCAAGGAGTCTTAGTCCTTTCCCCTAGACAGACCCATTTACGGTAGCTGGGCTCCTGTGTGGGTATTTCTGTTTCTTCTCGGAGCTTTGTTGCCCACGGCTGGCTGCGGCTGGTGTCCTTCTTCAAGGATTCGACGCTTAAGGCACGAGGGCTTCAGGTTCCAGGGTCCACAAAACAGATCACTCAGGGCTGTGCTTCGATCGAAAGGCACTGGCTCGTCTCACAGATCGAAGCTCGCTCCCGGAGCGGCAAAAGCTCTGTTGGGCAAGCGACATACACGAGGACAGTCAGGCGAGAATACCTCGGCAATTCGAACAGGTGAAGGCAGGCGGTCTTCACTTGGCTTTGAACCTGTGAGTTGTGCGGCATTCCGCCGGAAATCTTTCTCTGCTGTTGCAACAGTATTCTGCTACCGGCTCAGCGTGATTGACAGATTGGCTGCTACTTGCGGCAGTCCATACTCAACATCTCCCGTCGAGTAGGGTTCAGGGGGGCAAAGCTCCTCAAATATTGCCTCTAGATTCTAGTAGCAGCTGAGACGGCCCAGGCATTGGCTTAGGCCGAAGCGCGCATCAGGAGCTGCTAAAGGAGTGTCTGCATGAACGGGATGGTCACCTGCGTGGGTCGTCTTGTTTGGTGCAGACGAAAGCCCCCTTCCTGCTACAGTCTTGTCATCACTAAGAGACGCAACATCTCCAATGTGCATTTTGTTCGTACACCCATGGCCTTCCGCAGCAGCTTCACCGTGGTACCTCATCTGCATGAACATAAGCCGCAAAACTCCTTAAGATGGAAGTCCGGAAAATGTTGGCCTCCTGTGGCAGAGCCAGAAATGTCACAGTATATGCACTAGTCCGGTGCTGCAGCATGCCAGGTGAACTGTTCCATGCTCATGCTGCAACGCAATGCCTAGGCCTAGCGCCTCCTTGAAGACCACATCTGGGCCGGAGCACTGCAGCAGCCGCAGCTTGGGATGAGGACCGGTCAAGCGGCAGCCTTCAAGTCGGAACTGATGATGCCGTCTCTTTCCGAAGATCCCGCGGGGCCGCGCCTTCGAAGGTCTCCGGCACCAGGCCTTGCACTGCCTTCCAGATCTCCAGGGACGCCTTCGCTGAGAGGCAACGTGGGAGGCGGGACCTGAGCTTGTTTTCCAGGTGCAGAGGCCTCCGCATCCACAACATCTCGCAGCGCCACGTCCTCCTGCGAGCACTTGCTGGAACGGATGCGACTGTCGGCTCGTTGGCGGCGCACACATTCAACGAATCGAAGCGCAAGGAGCAGCTGTCACCAGCAAGGACAACTTCAGGGAGTGCCATGGTCACCCTGCACTAAAAGCGATTGGTAGACTCAGAACCCCTCGGCACGAATGTGTTTATGGGAGATGCGGGCAGTCTTGGGCGACACTTTTGCCTGGCGGGAGCCCTGTGGAAGGGGGCGCGCTGGCGGGAAAAGCGAAGCCTGGGAGACCAAGGCCGCCAGCCGCTGGCAAAGGCCGCTTGCGAGTCCCTTCGGGCGACCTCGGAAGCTGCGTCTCGGCAAGTGGCGGGAGCTCTCCCAGCCAACGTGGAAAAAACCACGGGGAAAAATTGAAAAAGAAGCCCGGCGAAGCGCCTCGGAAGAAAAGATTTGCCCTTTAGGCCTTTAGGCGCAGAAAACAAGAGGATAGCAATAGGTTTCTCGGTTTTCATGGCTCACTCTTAAATCCTAGATGCCGTTTTGATGTCGGTGCTCCGGCCTACTCGCCAAACTTCCATCGTGCCGGTGCAAGAGGACTGGGTTGAAGCACATGAAGGACGTGACAGACTAAGCGCACCAGACCGTGACTCAAATCGCAGGACGGCGCTTTAAGCTCAGGGCACAGCCAGCGTCTCCCGGGTGACAGGGCGTCAGCGGACGGCACGGGCGAAACCATGGCAGGGAGTTGTCGGGTCCGGGGCGGCAAACCTAGGGAGGCGCTACAAGATAAAGTTTCCTTGTCCGATTGTGGGGGTACTCCCTGCATCTCTCCTGCACCGCGGTAGGTATTCGAATAAAGACAGTCAGAACTTCGTTGAGTCACCCACACATATCATGAATTTCCATGTCCGTTGCTGGCGCTGCGTGTTGAGACCTGGATTGCGTTGCAGAGCCGAGCGGCTCAGGAGCAGAGACCGCACATGGGAACCGAACGCGTCCTGAGTAGAAAATCACCCCGGCAGCGGCCAGGCCTCGCAAGACCCCCGGCCACCTTGCAAAGAGGGCGGACCCTTGCGGGTTTGGAGAATCCCTCAAACATCAAGTCATCACACACATAGCCACTCTACATCGTGAACTCTGTACCGTCCGCACCCTTCGAATCAGACATGTGACATATCCCTGAAGCCTCATAAGCCGAACAAAACCCATTTGGCCAAGGAAGCCCCGGCCTGAAGCTCGAGCCCGACACGCGCGAGGCACTCGCCGACGAAACGCCGCTCGCCCTCGGCCTCTGACTCGGGGAGTCCAAGACAGGGTTTAGGGCCCCAAAACAGAGGCGACCCGCGGGGGTCCCTGGGATCGGTCTCGGAGTCTTGGCAAGTTCGATGTTGTCGCCCCTTTCACACTGACAGACGCCTTCGGCCCCTTGCAATGTTAGTCACAACATCTACAAACACGCTTCAGTGACAAAGCGACATGCGCCGAGGGTGGTGGAGAAGCGTGTTGCACAAGCTACTACAGCTGCCGCGGATGGGAAGATGGGCCTTTTCAGCAAAAAGCTAAACTTGTGATGTCTGCCACTGCTGCGATCTCCAGCGTTTGCTCTACCCAAGTGCTGGCCGCGATGGCCGGGGCCTATCATTGCCTATCTCATGTCTACTGGAATACCTCCACCAGCATCAAACAAACCAGGTAATGAAAAAGACTGCATCCGGCCTCAACTGGATGCCTGTCCGGCAGGAACTCCCAGGCAAAGCCAACTGGATCGTCAACAGCTTCTGCCAACCTTAACAAAGGGACACCATTCACTTTTGGGGAGCGCCTTCCACTCGCGAACCCAAAACCCGGAGAATGGCCTCCTGTTTTCTGCCAGGGCACACTTCACGGAGGTCCGGTGCATGCTGTGGCCGCGGCGGCAAGGGCCGCACACTACGAACCTCCTCCTCGAGTACCGGTACTCCAGCGATCTGAGGGGATTCACATTTGACCTCGGAGGCCTGCGTGGAGGTTTGGGAGCGAAAGTCGCCCAGAAGGTCCGGCGAATCCCTGTGCTCTCCTTGCCCTGTCTGCACGTCCAGCTTGGATTCTTTGGCGGCCTCGTTTATCTCCTTCTGCTCCTCTTTTGCCGTGCCGTCCGACGGGACCGAGAGGGGCTCCTTGGGAGCATCGACACTCTTGGTGGCCGCAGCTTCCTTCGCGACTTCGGGCTGCAAAAGCTGCACGGCCTCGGGCTTCGCCTCTGCCTTGGCGACTTCGGGTGCCTTCCGGACAACGGTCTGAGGAAAGCCGAAGCCACGGAGCACCGGAGATGCCTTGGGACTCCGGTCCGTAGGAAGAATGACCCGGGTGCGACACACGGGAGATAAAGCCGTGATGGCTGTGGAGGACTGCACAACGGGAATCTGCACCGCGCGTGCAGGTGTTGGCAGCCGCATTGCATCTGCATGGGGCGCAATGTCCTTGGCTGTGCTCTGGGCTATGGAAGCGAAGCATGCTTCGTTTCGAAGCACGAACGATAGTTTGCATTCCAGAATTGTCACACTCGCAGAGCAAGGACAAGCACAAACAGAAAGGGTTTGCCTGCAGAAAACCTTGGACGCTAGCATTTAGGAGACTGGGGGGCGTGGAAGGATTCAGACAAGACAAGAAGGGCTCAGTGCCGGCCCGGACTGTGTCTTGGCCATGACGAGAAGGTTCCTTCCACCCACCCGCAACGTGCCCTTCAGGACATTCACAGAGACTTGGGTCCTACCGTAGTAAAGGTTTCAATATTGATTCCGGCCCAGAACATAACTAACATAAGCCATGCTACGAGTGAACTATTCGGCACAGGTCCAACAATGTTCGCACAAAGCTTGGCTGTGCAACAAATCCAAAGTTTCTGCGGCAAGACGAGTCACTTGTTATCTTCGAGCGCTTGTCGGTGAAATTAAAAAACACAAGCGAGTTTGCGACAAGAGAATCAATGTGATATGCTTCAGCGTTTTCTTAATGTCTGCAAACAAACCGAAACAAGTTCTGAGAAGTCTGATAGGCATCCGAAAAAAGTTGAGGGTTCTAGGGCATTTGAGGGAATCAGAATTCATCGGATGCCAAAGCAAGCGTGGACCTTCCTGAGCCAAGCCCTGCTCCTCAGAGCCGGGTTTGAAGCCTTTTTTCAGATCCCAGAGAGCACTGTCTCTAGCCAACTGCGGAGTTCGCACTGGCAGCTTCTGCTCTGATTTTCGCCACATGCAATGTGAAAATGTGAAGTGTCTTGTGAAAACTTGCTCTGTGCCTGGGCAAAGTGTTCCCGTTGGAATCAAGCCACGGGGGCACCTCCAGAGCGGCCTTTGGAAGGCGGCCCAGGGCCGCCTTCCAAAGTCAAGCTGGGCCAATGTTTTTGCTCACGCTGACGGGATACAATGCTAAACAACCCCTCCGATTTCACAGCGACACCCAACTGTCGGAGAGAAAAGATGACCAGGCAAACCCTTAGTAGAAGCTCCAAAAAAAAGCACAGATTGTCAAGTCAAGAACTACAGTCATTCTCAATTCGAGGGGTGTTCCGTCCAAGCCCGAGGGGCCATGCGACGTGGCGACGGTGATGTTCGCACTCGCACCACTCGGGGTGCCGCGACCGGTGATGTCGCACCAACGGTAGTCGCACCTCTTCCGATTTCCCAGGAGATTGCAGGCAGAGATTCGGGGGAAGGGCTTGCAGTTTGTGCTAACAACCTCACTGACCTCACCGCAATTCGCGCGCGCGGGGGCATAATATGCCAGCAACCGCCGAAACCGGCAACCCGGGGGGCCTGGGCCCACACCGCGGGGTGCCAGTGGCACAGCCGGGCGGCGTGGAGCAGTTGGTGGCCGAAGGGCTGGCACACACGAGGAGCGCTTGGGGCCACTACTCTGAGATTGAGTTGAAGGGAGTTGGGAAGATGCACATCTAACTTTAGTCCAACTCATGTCCCGGCCTTGATATCCAGTTGCGGCTGCTTGTATGGGCACCGGAACAGTTGCCTGAAGCACAGTTGCTGTCGGTTCAGGCTGAGGGGTTGTTCCAAGCTGGAGTGTCTTGCTCCTATCAACACAACGCAAAAACCGGGTGCACACGGCAAGACCGAAGCGCGACCCTGAGCCCTTCCGCGCGCCTGTCGCGCTGCGCAGCCGCTCGTGACAGAAAGAACATCGGGAGCCTTCCTTAAAGTGCACGGCGCTTCCGAGCAGTTTTCTTCTCTTTCACTCGGTAGCACGGAGCCTCATCATCGGCGAGGCAGCGGCTGGCGCCTCAGCGAAAGCAGAGGCTTCGACGATGGAACACTGGAGAGACACAGCATGACCGCACTTTCTGTTTGGCGGCTTACTGGCGCTTGGCCCAGCGCTTCGACGCGAAAGGATGGCACTGCCACGAAACCTTCAAATTCTCATGGACTGAACCGTTGCTGATCTTTCAGTGCTGCAGCCCAGTAACAGGGCAACATCTTCATTTTGATGGATTGCTTCGGAGTGGGTTCAGTGGAGTACGCGCGATAACTGGAGCGACAGCAGCCCGTGGAATCTACAGGGAACGCTCCGGCCAGCCTTGCGTCCGCATGGCCTCTCGCCTTGCAGCTTCGGAGTGTCTGGATGTATCTGGCCCTTTCTGGGCCAAAGAAAGAGGCCTCACCGGCAGCACCACGGCTCCATAGCCAACAGGCCGAGGAGCCCCCGGAGGCACGGGCATTGCGCCACCTGCGGCGCTAACATATGCAAACATCAGGAATCCCTGGATGCAGATGCATGAAAACAGCCATGCGCGTGGGTATCCCTCATGTGTGCACAAAGAGCTGTTTAGTCACCTGCCTAACCACATTACCCGTCTACCTGCCTGCTCCTCTCTGACGATCCATGTTTCTGTACGTTAACGTGTTTTTGATCTCTGAACTAAAACAACATAGACTTATGACTTGTTTGCTTGTCCGTTTGCCGCGAACTGCCATTTATAGCTACAAATCCACCATGAGTTTGAGTCTGGCCATCTTTATTCGCACTCTTCTTGCCTACTTTTGCGTTTCAAGTCTCAGCAACTTTGCAATTCCCCCCTTAAAGCTTACGATGAAGCTGAAAGAGGTAGCACCTCTGTCTCAAGCTGGA